ATCGATCAGCTGCCTCCTGCACACCCCCTACTGGGGATGTGCTCACAACGCAGGTACATGCCCTTGACCGGAATCGAACCTGGGACCTTTCAGTCCGCAGGCCGACGCTCTATCCACTGAGCCAAACCAGTTAGGGCCAAATGTGACCTTTTGATATGGAGGGAACATGACAAGACCCTTCTTTTCAGACACTGTGACAAACGTGAAGACAAGTTTAGAAAACCGAGAGAGAAAGTTGGGAGGAGTTTGGTTATCTCTTTGGCCAAAAAGAAAAAAGAAATGGCCGTTTTCTTCAGTCTCTTAGTAAATGTTTTATCTACTGACTTGGCCCACAAAGCTGACCAGGGTGAGCCTCCCGTTGGACATTCCTACGGGGTTTCTGAGGCCATTGAGTCGCGGGAGTAGGTAGTAGAGGATGCTGAGAGCCCGCCACAGGGTGGGGTGACCAACTAGGCCAGGGGTGGGGAACCTTTTTTCTGCCAAGGGCCATGTGGATATTTATAACATCATCCGTGGGCCGTACAAAATGATCAACTTACAAATTAGCCTGCTCTGTTTGGTCAAACGTCTCATTAACTCGCCCCTGATGCCTTGGCAGGGCCAGACCTAATGATTTTGCGTGCCTTACACGGCCCGCGGGCCGGACGTTCCCCACCCCTGGTTATAGTGAGGTCACATGACGGTATCTTCAGCCCCGCGTTACAGGTCGCTCCACATGAAAGAACGTAATGCCAAAAACATTTAACAAAAATTAAGCCACAAATTCAAGCTACCCAAATGACTCTGAAATATGATCAAAGTACGCCAGCTCTCAAACCGGAAACGCCTTCCTGTAATCAAAACGGCTATCTCCCCTCCTGTGTGCTCAAGGGGTGCCGTTCAGGTGTCCGGAACCAACAACAGGAACAGCCTCTGTGGAAAATGAATTCGTTGAGGCTCTTTCACCTCTGGGACTTGCCAGGGGATTTCAAGTGCTCAGTGGGAAGTATGAGCATTTGGGAGAAGAGAGAACTGATCAGAGAGGAGGAAGAGAGGGGAGGGAGACAGCTGATCACAGGTAACATGTTGAGCTTCAGTCTTAGGCGACAGAGAGCCAATCTGCTATCACCCCTTTCTCCAAACTCACGACCATCTCAACGTGTTTCAGGGCCTCCGCAGAAAGGCAAAGAACAATATGATAAACAAAGGCTGTGGGAAGGACTCAAAAATAGTTCTTTCTCAAACCCCCCCAGTGGGTTTGTGGTTACGTCACAAACACAGATAAAAAACAGTTCAGGACACTGGTTTTCAAAGTGTGAGGCCCAGACCAACAGGCTGAGCATCACTTAGGAACCTGTTAGGGATGCAAATTCCCAGGCTCCGCCCCCGACCTATGGAATCGGTAACTCTGAGGAAGGGGCCCCTGCAGCTCTCCAGGGACTCTGCTGTGCGCGCAACTTGGAGAGCCGCTGGTGTAGTGGACAGAAGTGGACCTCGGGTGAGGCCACTGGTTTCAAATGCAGTGGTGAGCTATGAAGCCAGCCTAGGCCATTGTGAGTGCTCAACACAAACCTCTCCTCCTCCTCTTCCTTATCACTGTCACCATCATCATCACCATCACCATCATCATCACCACCATCACCACCATCATCACCATCAGCATCATAACCACCATCACCACCATCAGCATCACTATCAGCATCATAACCACCATCACCATCATCATCACCATCAGCATCATAACCACCATCACCACCATCAGCATCACCATCAGCATCACCATCAGCATCATAACCACCATCACCACCATCATCACCATCAGCATCATAACCACCATCACCATCATCATCACCATCAGCATCATAACCACCATCACCACCATCATCATCATCAGCATCACCATCAGCATCACCATCAGCATCATAACCACCACCATCACCATCAGCATCACCATCAGCATCATAACCACCATCACCATCATAACCATCTCTGACACAGAAGGGACTCCCGCGCTGGTTACCTGTGTGCTACTAAAGAGGATCTCCATGCCCTGCGCTGCCAGGAAGGCCTCCCTGCCAGACTGGAGGGTGGCAATGTGCTTGAGGCAGAGCAGAAGTGCCCGGCGGATCGGCAGGTAGCTGTTGGCCGTGTCGTGGCTGTGCCAGTCCTGATGCAGCCGGAGCAAGCTGGCGACGTAGCCCCTGTTCACCACCCTGCGGCTGTTAGACTCTGAAACCAACGGGAAAAGGCGATGTCGGTCACAGGCTCCCCTGGGGGCACCGGAGACACTTGTTAATGACAAAGGGAATGGTCATAACTGTCCAGCGGAAAACACTGGCCGGTGCCACCGCATCGAGCGATTAATGTGCATCACCAAGCCCTGGCCAGGTGGCTCAGTGGGTTAGAGCATCATCCTGATACACCAAGGTTATGGGTTCAATCCCCGGGCAGCGCACATACAAGGATCGGCCAATGAATGCATGAATAAGTGGAACAACACCTCTCTCTCTCTTTCTCTCTCTCTCCCTCTCTCTCTATTAAAAAAAGAGAGAGAGACAATACATGCTTCTAGCCAAGTGTTTAGGAAAGATCCCCTGAGCTGAATCAGATAAGCATGAATTTCAGACCCTTCCCTCAGACCACATAAGTACACAGGAGTGAAAACATAACCTGAAAATTCAGTGCTTTATCCCAGAAGGGTTTTCTCATATTAATAAATCTTTTTCAGTCTCTCTCTCTCTCTCTCTCTCTCTCTCTCTCTCTCTCTCTCTTTCTTTCCTGCTTGTTTGTCAAATTCTAAATGGTCAGGCCTGACGAAGCCCCTCTGAGATTTTTGACCATTTCTTCAGTTGGTTTTCCTTTTTAATTTTTTTTTTTTTTTACGCTTTTCAACATTTCATTCAGCCAGGACCCTGCCCTGAGAGAGATGAGCTTTATTCACTCGTCATCTCTTGGGGGAAGGCTTCCATCGCCTTCATTCCTCCTTGAATGAATTATTCTGCCGCATCAGAAACCTCCTTCTCCTGGGCCCGTCCCGGCCACAACGCGCTCCGAGCTCTTGGCCGCCTACATGAGGCCCAGCCTGCCCGGTAGCTGACGTTTAAAAGAAAACGGAAGATTAAGTGGGAGGTATTAAAGCAGCGGTTCTCAACCTGTGGGTCGAGACCCCTTTGGCGGTCGAACGGCCCTTTCACAGGGGTCGCCTAAGACCCTCCTGCATATCAGATATTTACATGACGATTCATCACAGTAGCAACATGACAGTTATGAAGTAGCAACGAAAATAATTTTATGGCCTTAACCGGTTTGGCTCAGTGGATAGAGCGTCGGCCTGCGGACTCAAGGGTCCCAGGTTCGATTCCGGCCAAGGGCATGTACCTTGGTTGCAGGCACATACCTAGTAGGGGGAGTGTGCAGGAGGCAGCTGATCATTGTTTCTCTCTCATCGATGTTTCTAACTCTATCCCTCTCCCTTCCTCTCTGTAAAAAATCAATAAACTATATATTTTTTAAAAAAAGAAAATAATTTTATGGTTGGGTCACAACATGAGGAACTGTATTTAAAGGGCCAGAAGGTTGAGAACCACTGTATTAAAGGGAAGAATCGCCCGCTGAGAAGATGCCAGATTGGCTAAAACAGTGCCCGGAGGCGCCACGTGGGAGATGAAGGACTTTTGTTTTTATCTGTGTAAGGGTGCGTTCTATCCTAACGACCTTCATACTTTTTGGAGGGATGAGGGGGATAATGGGGAGGGGGGGAAATCTTTAAGTATCTGAGAGAAAAACAAACAAAACCCTTATCAAATCCCAGTGACTTTATTCATGATTTCCTGTTAATCCTCAGTAAGCGGTCATGTTTACTAACATCGGAAATAGCCATCCCTCCGCCCACCCCCCACCTCCCCATCACCTCACATCAGTCGATCTTTCTCTGGGAATAGCTTGGGGAGTTTTGCTAAAGCCCATACTTATCTGAAACCCGACAAGAGGACCTGCATCGCACAGACAGAGAGCGAATATAAATAGAGAAGAGGCAAAGGGTGGATGAAATGAAGGTCACTGGGGTCAGCAACGTGGAGGACTCTAGAACATTTGGGAGGAACACAGGGCTTCTCTGAGGGAGCCCAAAGAGCGAGGGAAATGGGGGGAGCTGGAAGATTGGGGGTGGGCCAGGGCAGGTCCCCCAACCCTCCTCAAAACAGACCAGCGGTACTTTGGTTTGCTTACGTAAATGGCTTCCTGCTAAAATTTTCTAAAGGGGAGGGGGAATCCTACTTCTTAATATTTTTTTAATATATTTTTTTAATTGATGACAGAGAGGAAGGCAGAGGGAGAGGGAGAGAGAATCATCAATGATGAGAGAGAATCATGGATCGGCTGCCTCCTGCACGCCCCCTACTGGGGATCGAGCCTGCAAACTGGGCGTGTGCCCTGACCGGGGATCGAGCCATGACCTTCTGGTTCATAGGTCAAAGCTCAACCACTGAGCCACGCCGCTGGGCCACAGTCTATAATCAAACATCACGCTCCGTAGTCACCGAGGATGCTCTAACACACATTTTCTCCCCCACTCCCCACCCTCCTGCCCGCTTCCTCCAGGAAACAGTTCATGAGGCATATTATGGAAGGGGAGGAGGACGCGTGTGGACGGTGGGAAGGCCGACGGGCGTGTCAGTGCTGCCTTTGACCTTGGCCGTGAAGGTCAGGAAGATGCAGGTTATCCGAAAGGTGCGAGGGAGTTGGGGAAAGGTAACTGCAAGACTTGGGGCTGTTTATCTGAGGCAGCCCCCCCAAAAGCTGCTGCTGGAAGCCTCCCCTCCCCTTCCCCCTCCCCCCCTCCCGCCCTCCCCAAGTCCTTTCTAATCCTGCTAACCTCCCAGGGAGCACAACCAATTCCAGAGGCCCCTCCAGCCCCTGGCTCCACGCACCCGCCTCCTCCCCACTCCCTTAAATAATGGCTGAGCCAATGCCTCCGAGACCGTCATCTGCTAATTTCCTTCAAGACGGGCTAGCGGCTCACGCTGGGAAGAGCAGATAGTGTGGAATGGCAAATGCGGGCAAAATTAGATTAAAATAACCTCCCGATAAACAAATGACTCGCCTCCAATAAATATTGGACTAGCGTGGCCCAGATAACTAACAGAACAGCGCCACCACCTGGCAGCAAGAGGAACTGCAAGGCCCGTACCAGTCAGCCCACCCAACTATGGGGTCGGACAGAGGGGATGGGGATGGGAAGCAAGGGGGATGGTGGTATTCTTTTAGCTCACACTTTTAAAAATATTTTATGGCCCGGCCGGCGTGGCTCAGTGGTTGAGCGTCCACCTATGAACCAGGAGGTCACAGTTGGACTCCCGGTCAGGGCACATGCCCGGGTTGCGGGCTCGATCCCCAGTAGGGGGCGTGCAGGAGGCAGCGGATCCATGATTCTCTCTCATCACTGACGTTTCTTTCTCTCTCTCTCCCTTTCCCTTCCTCTCTGACATCAATAAAAACATATTTTAAAAAATACTTGATGTACTTACGCAAAAGACAAAAAAAAAAAATTTGGTGGGGAAGTCAGAACTTTAAGCCAAGGGGGGAAAAAGTCATGTTCCAAGTTGAGCGGGGCTGATACAATAGAATCTATGATTCTTCCCGCCCTCGTTCCCTTTCTCTCCATCCAGCCCATCATCGCCAACCTCATCGGATGCTGCTAAACCTCATGGCAGAGACTGGGCCCTGGCACAGCCGCCTGGCGATGGGGTGCCTCCTGCTGGTCCCATTCAGACGCTTAGATGGGGTGGACGCTCTTTTCTAAAGAACTAAATGACAGCCCGGCCGGTGTGGCTCAGTGGTTGAACATCGTCCTAGGAACCAGGAGGTCACGGTTCAATTCCGGTCAGGGCACGTGCCCGGGTTGCAGGCTCGATCCCCAGTGTGGGGCGTGCAGGAGGCAGCCGATCCATGATTCTCTCCCATCACTGATGTTTCCATCTCTCTCTCCCTTCCTCTTTGAAATCAATACAAATATATTTTAAATAGAGAGAACGAGCCCTAACCGGTGTGGCTCAGTGGATAGAGCGTCGGCCTGGGGACTGAAGGGTCCCGGGTTCGATTCCGGTCAAGGGCATGTACCTTGGTTGCGGGCACATCCCCAGTAGGGAGTGTGGAAGAGGCAGCTGATCGATGTTTCTCTCTCATCAATGTTTCTAACTCTCTATCCCTCTCCCTTCCTCTCTGTTAAAAAAAAAAAAGAGAGAGAGAGAGAGAGAATGAAAAAACTAAATGACAGATGCTCCGGCCCCCCAAATCCTTCTAATACTTAGAAACTATTTATTTAGCTTCCTCTCAGCTTTGGGTCTTATCTTCTTTAAGCTAAAAAGCAAACAAACAAAATAAAAACCCTAACCCTCGTTCATCTCTTCCTGGCACACACAGGGCTCGGGCCCCAGGGCCTGGCGGGTAAACTCCTCGGCCCACAGGCTGTGTGCGCGGCCTCGGCTTCCCAAACCTCAGTCCCCTCACCTGTAAAATGGGGTGGTCACCCAGCCTCCTCCACAGACCGGATTCGGGTGCCGTGGCTGACGTCCGAGGAGCCCAATAAACAGCAGACACTGCGCTGTCACGCCCGCCCCCCCCCCTGATGGATGGAGCCTGCGATTCTGCGATTCCGCATTTGCACAAAGTCGACCGCGTCTCGTCTTCCTGCCCATTAGCTCTCTTGCATCGCTGGCATCGCTGTCTCCCTCCGCTCTCCTGTCTCCCTTCCTCGACTAACCTACTTTCCTATTCCCAGCACTCCCCCAACGCGCCCCCCCCCACACACACACACACCCCAACTTCTGCAAACTTCCAGGCGCCTCTAAAACTGCTGTGGACGGAAAGACCCACGTGCCAACCTGGCGAGCTCGGGGGAGGCCTGGGCGGCGGCCTTTGCAAACTCACAGACCTCAAGTCACCACGGAGGATGGTCTGAACTTAAAACTGTAACTGAAAGCAGTGTATGGTGGGTAGCCATGCCCCAGGCCGGTATCTGCCCTGGCAAAGGTCCATCTTTACCTTAACGGAGCCTCTATGGTGACATATCCTTGGGATGTCAAAGGGATTTTCCCTGTTTTCCGGACCCCTCAAAGCACAGGCCCTTTGAAGACCCCCAGCCTTTGCACACCCACAGCCCTTTGCAAACCCCCAGCCTTTGCACACCCACAGGCCTTTGCAAACCCCCAGCCTTTGCATACCCACAGGCCTTTGCAAACCCCCAGCCTTTGCATACCCACAGGCCTTTGCAGACCCCCAGCCTTTGCATACGCACAGGCTTTTGCAGACACCCAGTCTTTGCAAACCCACAGGCCTTTGCAAACCCCCAGCCTTTGCATACCCACAGGCCTTTGCAAACCCCCAGCCTTTGCATACCCACAGGCCTTTGCAGATCCCCAGCCTTTGCATACGCACAGGCCTTTGCAAATCTCCAGCCTGCTTACCTATAAACTGCCTATTTGGCATCACCCTTTGACCGACTTCCCATGTAGTCTTTGTCCTTCTACCCACCATCAGCAGCTGGTTTATGGTGGGGGCAGAGCAGATGTTTGTGGGTGCCCTGCTGCTCCCCCACGCTGCGGGCAGGATTGGAATCAACGCTCAAGTAGGATTCCACCCTGTCTCTGCTGAACGGGCTCAGGGAGTGACCGGCAGCCGGGACCCATGGACTGTCCGGTTACAGAAGCGCTGTGTGTTGCGTGGCTTTCTCTGGGCTCAGAGCTGACAGAGATGTATGTTTTGGGGGGAGGGGGGGAGGCGCTTGTATTTTTATTTATTTATAAGTTTTATTAAAGTTCACTTCTTACCCACAGGCCCTGAGCTCCCTACAGAGAAACAAATATTACAATCGCAGCAGCTGGTTTCCAAGCTGCCAAATTAAAAATAGATGAAGAAGGTGAGGGAGGGGGAAGATAAAAACCGCTCCCGCCAGGC